TTGAAACCCATCTTTCTTTCCTTTTCCTTTCTCTTTCCCAATTATTAGGCAGGCAAATGCTTATTGTTCTGCAACTCTTGTTTTTTTACACAAGGAAATTAAAATAGGAAAATGAAAAGACAGCAGTTTTGAGCATGGGGATGAAAAAATGGAGAGAATCATAGTAAATGGCTTGTCTTCTTCTGGCAGAGAAGGCAAGGGCCAACAGTGATGGCTGAGGGTGAAAAGGGAGAAGAGTATGTGCAAAGGTGAGTGTAGTAATGGCCTGCCATCAGAGGCAATGATTCAATCAGCTCACAGTATGACTTGATCTCTGTGATTTTTTTCAAAGACATCAGGTTAATTCTTGCCTGCATGGTTGAGAAGCACTGGCTTAACATTTGTTAAGTATTTATTCCATGACTGGAATTGTAAGTGCTTTACATGAGTAAACTCTTTCAATATCCACAATAACCTCAGAAAGTAGACATCTCTACTATCTGTATTTAAGAGGAAAATTAAAGCCAGATGTAGTAGCGCACAACTGTAATCCCAGCACTTGGGAAGCTGAGACAGGAGGATTACCATGAGTCTGAGGCCAGCTTGAACTACCTAGTGAGTTCAAGGCCAGGCTGAAGTACATAGGGAGACCCTGTCTTTAAAAAAAAAGAAAAAAAAAAAGAGGAAAATTAAGTATGGCGGCTTTAAAATGCCTGCAAAGCTTGGCCTGTCTCACTTCAAAAGATTCGCTTCTCCTTGACTACAGACTAATGACTTGTTCCTAAAAGAACATGGTGGAACATGACATCTGGGTTTAGTTGTAAAAGGACAGCTTTCATCTTTTTCTTGGGAAGCCAGTTACGTGTTATGAGAACATTCTAGCAACCCCCTGGAAACCCATATGGAAAGGGTTTGTGGCCTCTAGCTACATTACCATGCTGTGCACGAGCCACACAGAGGCCAAGACCACAGCCCCACCCAAGCCTCGCCACGAGAGCCCTCGCTATCTCCTTTGCCGTAGCTTCCTGCAACCAGAACCACCCAGCTCAACTACATCTAGATCTCTGACACACAGGAACAGCGTAAGAAAACAAACATTTATTGTTTTAGGCAACTACATTTTGGAGTAATTGATATGCAGCAATAGATAACTAATGTGCAAAGGTTAAGTAACTTGTCTGTGCTACTGCAGGTAGCAAAAGCAAACTGAAAACTGAAACTCGTCAGAAAGGACCCAGCGGCCATACTCTATACCACTCACTAGAATTAACTGCTTTTAAAGGAGGTTGTTGTGCTTTTATTTTATTAGAGCTGGCACAAGGATTAAAACATCACATTAATGAAATAGCTGCTAGGCAGCTGGGCATAGTGGCACATGCCTATAATACCAGTACTCAGAGGCTGAGGCAGGAGGATTCCTGCAAGTTTGAGACCAGCCTGAACTACAATAGCTACCACAGTGAGTTCAAGGCCAGCCTGAACTACATAACAAGACCCTGTCTCAAAAAAAAAAGAAAAATCTAGTAGGTATTAAACTAAATAGTAGGTAGTCAATGACATCCATTGTTATCACTAAAGGGAATACATTCTCAGAGAGAATCACTATCAAAATATAAACAAAAATGTACAAACATTATCTATATACATAAAACTCAAGCCAATGACATTTTTCTCCAGCATGTCTTTATTTTAAACTCATTCCTTACCCCTGTCTTTGCTGGTCATTAAGGATATTCAAGACAAAAAAAAATCTGTAACAATGACTTTTATCCCAGAGTATGCAATTAACATTCCACTGTACTTTTTGCTTATTCCTTACTCATGGTTATCAAACTGTGATACATTTTAGAAAGTACAGTATTATGGACAAAATTTTGTTTCTACAGAATCCATGGGTTGAAGCCCTAGCCAGCAACTGAACTATATTTGAAGACAGCCTTTAGGAGGTAGTTATAGATAAATGAAGCCTTAGGGTAGGCTCTGAATCAGGGCTGGTGTCCTTATAAAAGAAAGCACAGGAGTGCAGTTGGACTGGGAAAGGTCACAGGAAGTCAGAAACACGAGAACACTCCAGAAACCACCTCTGCCAGTGCTTCATCTTGGACCTCCAGCCTCTAAAAATTTCTGTGGTTTAAGCCACCTGGTCTGGGAATTCTGTTATATAAGCCCCAGTTGACTAATACACTCAGCATGCTGGAAAAGGCCTGGGCTTGGAAGTCAGGCAGATTCCAGCTCTGCACATACTAACAACATGTTATCTGGCTTACCTCACTGAGCTTGACTTTCCTTCCTAGGAAATGTATAGGACTTGCTGCAAAGGCATTAGAAGCCAAGCACAAGTAAAGCACTTACGCAAAATGTTCATTCTCAGTAGGCATTTAAATTGTGATGAAAGAAATATAAAATCAGCTTACTGTCATTTATCTACAACCAAGATATTGTTCAAATACAACGAATGCTCTAAAAATATAAACCTGATGAGTCAACAAGGATGACTATTAAATGCCCATGCTCATCCCTAACCCTCCTCACGTGCATTGACCTTCATTTTATTCATCAGTTTAAAGTGAGCGCCTCATCACTCCCCGTCAAGCAATCTTCCCTTTTGACTCCCATTATTTTTATTAACTGTCAAGAGGCCACATCAAGTGTCTCACTTCTCTCTTCAATAAAAGCAGCTGATCCCTGAGACAATTAACAAAGCCCTCACAAGAAGATAATCAGAGCCCACCATGCTTAACAGCACCTGAGCCTTCACACTAAGTCCCAATTCACCTGGAAGGAGGGCAGGTGCATTAGTCAGCCACAGCAGGTTCCTAGAAAGTTGGAGGCTATCTCTTCCTAGCAGTACAAAAAAATCAGGTTTGACAGGCTAAATGTTTTTAACTGCTACCCATCCTACTAAAGGCCCCACTCCAGGTAGATTAAAAAGATACAAATAAAAAGAACAGCATTTGTCTCAGACCTTGGCAAAGCACAGTGTGTGGGAGCTCTCCCTGGTGCTACTAAATCTGCCTCAAAATTCCCTCCCTGATTTATTAGTAGCCACTCAACACCCTTTGCCCCTTACAACTTCCTGGTTTTGTGGTCCTCACCAAGAAATGGACACACTGCTCTGCACTGCTTCAAAGACTCCTCCATTTTTAACTTTAGGCATAATTTTGACTCTTACCTCAACATCTAATTCCCTATATATGCATGTTTCCTGTGCACCACCTCTGGTAGCCTTCCTCTAAATCTCTATTATGTTTGTCTGGAATGATAAGAACACTGTAGGAATGCATAGTGGGGATGGCTGTACAACTTGCAAATGTTCTTAAAGCCCCTGAGCTGTATGCTAAAAAAGGTAAGTTTTCTGTCACATATATTTTATCACAATTTCAAAAAGAATCCCATTGCTAACCATTAAGTAGTACAGGGGCTTAGAAAGGTCCTGTGACCTACATTTCTGGGGAGTCCTCTAGATGTTCCCCCTATACCAGCATCTTACCATCCAACTGTCTTATATAGCATGGCCTAACACCTTTCCACATGTAACTTCCTTCTTTTAAAACTTCACTATAGATAAATGTTAGTTCTTTAGTCTAACATGGAGAACTCCACACCAACTGATCTCAACCCACCTTTTTGACCCCATCTTTTGCTAAATCCCTATAGGTATGGATAACTCTTCTTTAGCAATTTTTATTGCTTTTTTTTTTGTTTATTTGTTTGGGGTTTTTTTTGTCTTTTTGAGACAAGGTCTTACTACGTAGTTCAGGCTGGCCTTGAGCTCACTTTGTAGCCCAGGCTGGTCTCCAACTCGCACTGATTCTCATGCCTTAGCCTCCCAAGTGCTGGGATCCTACTGTTTTTTAAATTTTTTTATTAGTGCATGCATATTATACAGACTAGTGGGTTTCCTTCTGGTAAGTTTATACACACATGTAACATTCTTCTATCGCCCCCCGCAACTCCCTGCCCTCCTTCCTTTTATCTAATAGTCTCCCTTCTACTTTAACTTAGTGTTTTGCTCATGTCCTTTGCTCAACTACTTTCATCCATTTTGTTTTTTTTTTTTTTTTTTTTTTT